CATGTGACATTCTTGACTGCTCTGTGTGGCCACAGCAAGAGCAATTAAGACAATTTGATAAATATATTTGTATACTGTCCTATGTCTAGTTTAATGTTCAGTGTCTTACTAATCTTACTAATCTCATTAACCTCACTAATCTTACCAGAAATTTAGTTAGGTTTCAGGAGCAACTGGCAGCCACTTCTCTTATGTTGTATTAGAACAGATTGGCATTAGACTTCATTCTGATTGAAAAAGGGGGTGTTTGTACTATGTGTAGCAAATCCCCGTTATTGTTATTTGGTTTATTATAAGTAGGCACTGTCGTCTGGTGCATTTATGTCAGGCATCCATACAGTCCAGCATCATCAATAGTTAACACTATGATTGGGCAACAGTGTTGTACTTACATCTTAAATAATACTGCTCCTGATGGCTCTATTGACAGGGTTGAAATTTTATCAGAGGAGATGGCTGACCATTCAGAAATTAAAAATTACATTGATGATTGGTTTGTTAAAATATTTTGGCAAGTGGAAACATTTAGTGATTTCTTAGCTACATCTTTTGTGGCAGCAGTTACCTTGCTGACCTTGTGTGGTTGCGGCTGCACCCCATGCATTAGGCATCTTTGTCTAAAGTGTATCACCACTACCATTGATAACAGATACCTCTTGCCCCCTGCCTTTGAGATGGTTCAATACCATTCTCTACTGGAAACCATGCCCATGATTTCACTCAGAGCCCGGTGAATCTGAGATTGAAGAGGATCCCTTCAATGGGGAAGAAGACCGTGACTATTTTACATACTCTTGCTAAGGGTTAACACATACCCACATATATTCTTGCATACACGTAGGTGGTGTGGACTCATAGGTGTGTGATTGATTTTGATTATTGCATAAGATAAGAGAAGGAGGCGTTGGGCTGTCTCCAACTCCTGATGTTTTTACAGCTGTCTGTGTAAGGGGTTAGCCCAAAACCTTATAAATGTATTAGGCTCTGTGTTTCCGGGGTCTCTCTTCTCCAGCAGCTTGTCTGAGGGAGGGAGCCACCTGGGTTTGTGCTTCTGTAACTTTTATTTGTGGTCTTTTTTAAATAAACCAGCACTAAAATGAAGTAAGTCGGACTCCGTCTTCATTCAGATCTGTTCAATAAAAGAAATGGGGTATAACAGTGTGAACACAGTCGTGGACATGATTGTGGAATATAAATGCCAAGCAGCCCTGGAGCTGTTCTGGTGGCACGTGGCAGCCCAGCACCTTACAGAGACACTTTATGTTGGGTTTTCTTTTCATTTGTCACCTGTCTTTAGGTTAAGTAGAAGCTATGATAGCTTCGCCTATTTGGACAGTGGCACTTTGTTTCCCCATAGGTCAGTACTGCCAGGACAGTTTGTTGTTCAGAAAAGGTCTGCGGCTTTACTTTGCCTCCTGAGAGCAAATCCTTCTCAGTGTTTCCATTTGAATGAACTAATTTAATCATGAAAGTTCTCTCTTTTAAACGCTGGTGTGATCAGTCCCTGGGAATTAAAATGAGAATTAAGTCTGGCAGATATATAACACTATGAGTACTATGAGTATTTTGTTGTAGGTTTTGTCACCTCATGCTGTTTTGTTACGTTAGAGATCATAACAGTTGTAGTAGCAACAGTAATTAACTTTACAATTAGTACGAGTATTAATAATTGTAATGGGAGTATTAAAACAGTTGCAGGATTAAAATATTAGTACTACTAACATAAGTGGTTCTGTTCTCGAGGCCGTCGCAGTATGCTCCCAGGCCAGGTGGCTCCAATAACTGGTCGATGCCATAGGCCACTCCCTCTGTGAAGGTCAGGTAGCGCTCCACTAACTTGGCTGCGTTATCATTAATCAGCACAGCCCCCTGAACACACATACACACAAACACATACACAATCAGGAATGTGAAAACAACTGAAAGGTCCGCTGCCAGAACAGAATACAAAACATACAGTCTAATGCACTTTCACACCAAACCTGGGTGCACACAAGAGAGACCACGTGAAAAACAGGCTCCAGTCGGGTGCAGCTGTTTTGTGAAACAAATGCAAAGCGGGTCAAACACAGAATTTTATAATAGTGGAGGAATGTATGGCAGTTCGTTGCTGCCACGACAAAGCAAAATTTTGCTCAGTTTCATGTTATAATAAGAAACTGAGGAGATGCTTTTCACATTATAACAAAACATTTTTACTATATTATGATTTATCAGTTTTTGATACCAAATTATACAATTTGTACAAGCAACTTTTAACAAATCAGTAATTTTAATCCAATAATATGATGTATATTATGTGAAATGTCTCATTTTGCATGGTGAGAACTTTTACTTTTGCTACTTTTGTACATTTACTTAAAATACAGTTTTCAATACTGGCTTTTTACTTGTAAGAGCATTTTTTACACTGTGGTGTTTGCATGAGTGTGTGTTTGCTCACCACCAGGGTCTTGTCACAGCTGTACTTGATGATGGATCCATGCATGGTGCGGAATGACTCGAACCTCCCAGGCTGACTGACACCCATCAACTACACACACACGCACAGAAAACATACTGATCTGTTTCTAGAGCTACAACAGAGCCATCTTGCTACCACACCTCCTCTAACTGAAGGACAAGTATTAAGTTTTGGATTTGAGTGGATTTTAGATATTCATGGTTGTTAGATATTAGTAAATGAGTCAGATAATTATTATACATTAATGTGTCAGACTTTAATGTGTTAGTAATGCAGTTTAGTAAAATTCAAAGTCTGCTCTAGTCTGCTCTGTTTCAAGGTTAGAACACAGTGTTGATTCTGGAATGTGAGCTACAGTTACCTTGACACCAACTGATTTCTTGTATTCATCCTGTGTTAGAATTATGTCTGAATGAATGTTTTGGTTACGCACCACGTGACAACACACACACACATTGAAATTCTTCATTTTAGTTATGACTAGTGCTCGAAGCATGTGCAGCATAAGATAAGAGAAGGAGACGTCGGACTGTCTCCATCTCGTGATGTTTTGTAACTTTTTGTGTAAGAGGTTAGCCCAAAAACCTATAAATGTATTAGGCTCTATGTTTCCGGCATCTCCTCTCTCCAGCAGCCAAAGTGTGTGTGTCTCTGGAGGAAGGAGCCACCCGGGTTGTGTTTTGTGATTTTGCTTGTGGTTTTAAATAAATCAGCACTAAAATGAAGAAAGATCTGTCCAATAAAAGAACTGGGGTATTACATGATCATTTTAATTCATGTTAAAAAATTTTTTCCTCAGTTTCATACCAATCTGACCATCCAGCATGAGTAACTATGGAGCTGGATTCTTATCATTTCTACCCACATACTTAAAGGTGTATTCACATTATTGTGGAAAAACATCTTGAAAGATGAAATAGTACCAATAATTAAATGACTAAACCTTGTATTTGAGACCATAAACAAAAAAGCTTTTCTGAAACATAATCAAAGGTATATTACTTCATAAAAAAATCTTAGAACTTTGTTTCATCTTGTTCACTGAAGATGCCAATTTAATTAAAGGCATTTTAACTTTTTTAAAGATGAGTTCCTTCAATTTTTTTTTTTATCTCCAAACTTTAAAATATTATTTAAAACACAAATTGTTACTTAAAATCACATGATCTCCACAACTGTGAAATTAGCATTTTGGTAACACTATGTAACGTGGTTTTTTAAATCACCGATTTCCTGCTGGAATATAATGTAGTTTTCATCCTGTAGGAGTTATGTTTGAACTGATTACTTGGTCACTGATCCAGCCATCCTCCTCTTCCTTTCCAGTTGCGTATGATGTGAGCCTTCACGATAGCAGCCAGTTTTTCTTGGTGGTCGGGGTTGGAGAGCCAGTGCTGTCGTTCAGCTGGCAGGGAGTTGAGGGCGTCGTCTGTGGGCCAGAACATTGTGAACGGCTGGTGGATGGGCATCTGAAGTAGAGGGAGTAACCCTGCATCCTGTACAAAGTTTTGACAGATTATAATCAGTACTGGCAATAGCAGTACAAGTTGGTGGTAATATTACTTTTTTGCCCACAGTCCCACTTCTTTCATGTTGAGACTGATCTCAGAATCACAATCTTTATCTATTTATACAAACATTCCTCTAAGAAATTTCGCCCATACTGAGTAGGAAAAATGTGACCTTCTCTCTGAGTCAAAGCATTTCTCAGCTGTGCTAACAACAGGACTTCAGGAATGTCAGTGTCACTTTGGTCCAGGCTGAAACGTCTGACCGCCATTGGATGGACTGACAAGAAATTTGGTACAGATTTTGATGTCCTCCTCACAATCAGTTGTAATAACCGTGCTGACCCCCTGACTTTTCATCTAGTGCCACCAACAGGTCAAAGCTTGAAGTTATCCGGTACTTTGTTTTTAGCCAAATACCTCCAAAACAAACCTTCCCATCTGCCACAGCTGCAGAGTTCTGTTTCAAAACAAATCTCATGCCAAAAAGGAGGAAGACAGAACCCTTGATGAAAACATAGCTACATGTTAGACAGTAAAATGGATATGTAAGTTCCTGTACCTCTGCACACAGCTCAACATTTGAGCATTATGTGGCTTATTTCCACATTTGAGTAGTGACACTTGCCCCTTTTACACTGCACATTCACTGAGATTTACACCAGTTTTCCACCTCGCCGATCTGACCCTCCAAAATGCTACCACAATACCTTAAAATAAAGGATAGCATTTTTGCCAAGATAACTTTG